TTATGAAAAACTAACTTTTTCAGGGCAAAAACATTGGAGTTCTTACCAACACAGAAACTGAGAAATTAGACGAAACTGTTTTGTATGTTTATTTGAAACGGGGATTATTCATATATTTATTAAATATCTATTTATTTTCTTACATGGGTCCATCGAAATGTGAACTTTTATTTATTTATTGGTAATTTATTAACATAACAAAAATGTTGGTTTCTTTGTGTTATTTATTTCAACAATATGCTTACCTGCAGCAAATGGTAGGTGGTAAAGTATCCGGCTGCTTGCAGTGAGGCTACAAGCTTTTTATTGTTATTTATTTTCCTTAAACTAAAGTAATTTTTTTAATCAAGCCTATATTATTTATCAGTATCACATGTTTATTTTTCGTTGTTGTTATTGTTAATAAAGGCCACTTTGTTGCACCACCTCCTGTTAACCATAACCTCAGTCTTTGTTGCTCTATTTGTAAGTTATTTTGTGATTAATGAAAACATCTGATGCCTTATTCATTGTACTCTGACTAAACCTAATAAAGCAATTTAGATTCTGTAATACTCTGTATAAGTGTGCTTTTTATTTTTATTTGATAAAAGAGCTTAAGGTTTTCATAACTGCAACAAAAAATCAACTTTTGGAGTTCATCTTTTAACAGCCATGCAATGTCCCTCAAAGCAAAGGCGTAATGTACTGAAAGGATATGAAAGGAGTATGGTTAGCTCATATCTATATGCACAGGAAGTATTGCATGAGAAGGATCAGAGATGGAATGAATCAATCATGACAAAAATATATCATAATGAAAATATGTGATAACAGCTGACGTATATTGAAAAATGTGTCCGTCGGAGTTTACCCTGAAATGATGCAGATATTACATGGTTGTTTATATTTAGTGTTGGGTTAAGAGTACACATAATTCATTCTAAAAATCCACTTATGAGTGTGGATGAAAAATGTATTTGATAAAACTTTCAAAAACATTTCCCAAACCAAGGTCCTAATAATTATTTACTTAAATGTGTACCAAGGAACAAACTGATCTTTCTCTTGAAGTTATTTGCAGAATGTTTATGTGCTGGAAAGTTACTCAAGAGTTTTGATCGAATGAGTCAACTTCTGTGACAGTTACAGCTTTAACTACATCATCTTCATCAGTGGCTTGCAGCATTTCCTTAAGTGGAAGTGACAAATAAGCGCCACGTAAGGTGATGACATGTCAAAGGAATTGATTGGATGCTTTGCTTTTTCATCAAAGCATACGGCTTAGTTCGAGATAAGGGGCATTTTTTCTGTAGGACTGCTTTCACACCCACCTTTTTAGAGGTTCACAAATATATAAGCACAGGAATCAGTCCCTGTCATTTTTGAGAACTTGAGCAAAGTCAGGATGAAATACAGAGCAGGTACAGTATGCCATGTTCACTTTACACATTCATTAATACATGTGTGCCTTTTAAAGATAGTGCAGATTTAACATGTTGTTTTTGATTTGCAGGTTTGCGGTTTGTGGCATTCGTCTGGATGGGGGTTCTGATGCAAGGCTTGGATGCAGGATGTGCGCCAAAGAAGCATTCTGATGATGGTTGCGGACTCAAATGGATGACGGGCGTAACCAGAGTCCTGGTAGTAAAGAGCTTGAAATTGTTTGTAAGTAAAATAAATACTTCACTGCAGACATTTTAACATTTTGATTATTTGTTAATGATAATATAATAATCCCCCTTATGTGCCCATCCCCCCACATGGATCACACCTGGCACACGCAATACATGTTCAGTGTCTATTCTTTGTATATTAACTGCAGTTTTTCATGTATACCAGTAGTCTTGAAATGGTGTTAAATGAAATTTGGTGATGATTAATGGTTTTTGTGTTAATGTAATAACAGTTAAAACAGGACCGGTCCAATTTGACCGCGAACACCAAAGTAAGGGGGGGAAAACGAAGACAATAGGAGGGTAGATGCTTAATCATTTATGGTCCATCTATCTATGTTTATAGATGTTTTACAAAACATTTGCTATGATCAATACATTATTTTACAATACCCAAATGAATGATAAAATACCATAAAAAGCAACATATGCATGATATATAGGCTATTTATCATTTCATACTGTGTGTCTCTGATGATGTGCAACAGTTTACAGTTGCACATCATTAAAATAGGTTGTTTTAAAAGTGTTATCGCATATTCACTATTCACAAGCTAATGCAGAGCAATGTAAGCAAATTGTAGTCACTTTCTGTGTTACAAACTTCATATGTCAAAGAGATGCATTATTCTTGAAAAACATATCTACATGCTACCGGTAGAATTACTTCTCTTCAACACATTTTTGGTTTGCTTTAACGATAAAAGTAGTAAATAAGCTATTGAAGTTGAATTGCAATTTGTTGGAATACTGTATAAATATAGTAGCTTGAATCTCAAAATTGTAATTTACAGTATACATTACTTGTACTTACTGACATTGTTGAATAAGCTCATCGGTGGGTGTCTGACCATTTTTGTGTTGCATATTTTACTGACTTGTAAGACTAATAACCAGAGCTATAAAGTAACTAAGTACAGTTCTTAAGAACATTTTGAGATACTTGTACTGTACTTCACTTTCCAATTTATGCTACTTTGTACTTCACTACAATTATTTTGTACCTTTAGTTATTATGCAGATTTAGATTAATGATGTGAAATATAAACACTTAAATAAGACTTTAGTTCCACCTGGAGTAAATTCACAAGCTACCCTGCAGTATACAAAGTCATTCAAACTATCTGCACCTTTACCAGCTTTGAGAACACTTTAATTATCAATCATTATGATCAAAACATTTTATATATATTATTTTGAAATGGGCCAATCTGCATAGTGAGTAATTCATTTTGGTACTTTAATTATATTTTGATGCTAATACTTTTGTACTTTTACTTGTAACAAAGTATTCCTTCACTTTGGTACTTCTACTTTTACTTAAGTACAAGATCTGAGTACTTCTCCCACCTCCGCTAATAACACATCTGCAATAACATAGGTGCCATTACGCAACTCTTGACATCTATATCTGAATAATATGAATATAAAATAACTTTCAAAAGCATTTTGTTGAAATTTTGAAGAAAATGTACTTTAATTCACTTACGTTTTCTATTGCTAGAATTAGCATTTTGGAACTTCTTTTTGGGGTGTAGTGTACAGTAGATCAAAGCAGATACGTCTTGTTTTGGTGGAACATTGTGAAACAGTCACATTGTAGATAAGATTTTGTATGTGTGTTTCAATAACATTGCTGCTGGTCTTCTCTTCCAGGTTAAAGTTAATGGGAAGCCCACGGGCACCTGGGACGGTGGATTCCCTCTGCTCCAGGAGAAGGACTCTCGCGCCAATGGGTCAAAGGTCCAGTGCAGCCTCCTCTTCATGGCTCAAGGCCTGAAGAAAGTCCTGGAGGACCAGAAGGTCAAAGGAAGTGTTGAACTTCAAAAGAAGCTCAACGAGACCATTTGCCAAGTCAAAGAGCTGGCAAAGTGTTCAAAGCAGGAATTCTACGGGGCGTGCAAGCAGATGCCAGCCGAGCCCAAAATGCCCAAGAATGCGCCTGAAAAGAAGCAGTGGAGTCACACTCTGCTGGTGAGTGCCAAGGCCTATCTGGTCTGGCTGGAGAGTAAGTCTTGGCAACAGAGTTCAAAGGTCAAAGGGAAAAATAAGATTTAACATAAAGCTCTTCAGAAGAAGCCCACTCCTCAGAAGTACCTGGAGGGCAGCGCGTACCTCTTGTAATCTCTGTTGGGGATGCAGAAACAGTTACAGTCTATGGCAGCTTTTTATAATAGTTAAGGACTTTTGAAATACTTTTTTATGTTTATTTGTAATGTAAACAACTTGTTTTTTTTATGCATTTTGGACATTTGAAATGTGCCACTTTTTATATTGAGTTTGAATTAATTAATGAATTTAGTACAAATGTAGTATATCAAATACTGATTAAATCACAGGTAGATAAAATAAAGTATTTTGCAAAATGTGAATTATGGCTTTGTTCAAATAAACTTGCTACTTCTCAGCAGCTGACATAATTCCCATGTGACTGTCATTAATCAACTTGCCAAAGAGGCAAATTAAAAGGGGCCTAATTCATTTCTTAATTACGACAGTTTGTTTTCTCAGCCTCCACAATGATTAATTGTTTTGCTCTGGCCGTCCATCCCTTGTGAGCAGGCCGGGTCGCCTGAGGTAGAGAGCGAAGCTGATAGGAATCACCTTCAGAGAGCACAACCAGTTTCCAATCACTGTATTGAAATGTGTGGACAGATGGACAGTGGGCCGTAGAGCAGATAAGTCTGTCAAACTCCCATCAAAGCAAAGCTACAGAACAACAACAGTGTAACAGAGATTGATGTGGGCTTCGCCATCCCCAAATTAAGACATCAATGAATATAGATTAAAATGTTCCAATGTTTAGTGGCTCTGAATGAGCTTAAAAACAGTCTTGATGCCGCAAGTTAACAACAAAATGATTTAAACAAACAGCTTTTTAAATGGTTTCCCTTGTATTTTCCGTTTGGCAAATTAAATTAGCAAAAGTCTTGATCTCTAGCACTACATACTTTACCCACAAAATGGTAATTAGTTTATGAATCACCCTATTTTATTAGATTCCTGTTTATGAAAATGTTGTGTTGAATTAATAAGGGGCCATGTTCGCAAGGCCCCTTTTTCTTTGTTCACCAGTGAGGCATCCAAGAAAATGTTTTCTTCAAGAATATAAAGGTAACATGGGGTTATTTAGTAAATTGATTGCAAATGGTCATATAATTGATGGAGAATTACTTTAAACTCATACATTGTCTTTGAGCCTTTGGTCGTTTCATTATAGTATATTCTTTATTTTGATAAAGTAGTAACTCTAGGGAACTCGAGTATTGAACTGCTAATTGGACCAGTAACTGGAAAATTCAAAATGCCACCATTTATAAAAAGCAGAACTGATAACCCATTTAATTTCACAGTCACTTTTATTAAATAGCAGTTTCATATGCATGCACTACACACAAAAGTAATGACACATTCTTTGCTGTTGTTATGATTCAACAAAACATGAACCAGATCTTACTTTTAAAAAAATGAAAGCTATTTTGATGACATGAACCGGTTTGAAGTGAATCCTGATGGAGGAGCTGCCTGCTACGTAGACCTGATGATCATCACGGATGAATGAATGAAGCATTCTATGCACTTATGAAGTGTAAATAATCAAATCACATACAGCATTTGTCCATTATGGGGTCGGCCTTGGAGGTTTCCATTTCTTTGTCCCAATAATGCAAAAATTGTCCAAGACGGCAGTTCATTTGCTGAGTCTCTTCTCCAAGCACCTTGGGGTGTCCAAACAGGGATGCTCTGAACTTGCTTAACTTGAGAAGGAAGTCAAATGCTCAGACAGGAAGGAGCTCTGGAGGACTCTCTCCGTAGCAGTACTTTGCTTGAGGGTTTCGATAAGTGTTCTCATGTTGAACACTCTAAATGAGAGGGAAAAAGATTAGACAGCTTAATGAATTCATTTAATATAATTATAAAGAAAAGTAGGGTTCAAATATAACATTTTTGATGAATCAGGAATTTCATAGATAACAACATTTATTAAGCTCGAGTAACGATAAAACCATGATTTGAGGAGTTTGTTTGATCCTCTTATCGAAAGAGATCGACAATAAAAATAAGAAAACTTTTAAATTTAGATTGTGTAAGCAATTTATGTCAGGAAGAGCAAATGTCAAGAGGGTTGAATGGATTTACATGTGTGTTTTCTATCTCTTAAGAATCAATGTATGATATCAATCAAAAATAATAATATTCATAAAGAGGAAAATAAAAATGTATTTAAAATGTTGTTAAACCTCATTCAATGAATCATAGATAAACATGTAGGAAAGTGTAGCGCATATCTTTTTTCTAGCTTTTAATGTCCCAAGAAAACCAATATACAGTAAACAGTATTTGTTAAATGTTGACTTTACTTATTGTGAAATGTTGACTTATCAATGCATCTGCAAAGGTTGTGTATCTGTGAGAAATGTTCACAAATTATGCTTAGTGTAAAAACAACTCAAATGGAAGATTTCAGACAAATGTCTGTGTTTATATAAAGATAGGATTGTGCTCTGTCAGACTTGGACATTTTCATTGCTGTTGGTCTCATAACATACTTGTGAAGAGGTCCTGCACTTGGCCAGGCAAAGCTCGAAATGATCCTCCACGGCGGTGAAGAGATTCTGGAAACCTTCAGCTGCACGATTCAGGAAGCGCTCAAGGAGAGGTTGCTGAAGACGAGCACACAGATAAGAGGGTGAGAATTAGTCAAATCTGTTTAACCTGTTTCTTTCTTTGTTAAATATTGAGGGCTTAAGTATCTAAAAATGTGCACTTTATGATCATGCAGACGTTTTGCAAGATGCAGCATTGGGACTTTTTTTAGATGACAGTCATAACCCAGGCCCCTGAGCATCCTTGATGGGACAGATTACCTTATCAGGCTGGAGGCAGCAAGACACGCAATACTCATAGACGCTACAGCAGCCGTTGGCCAGGCAGCTCTTACAGATGTACTGCCTGGAGCTGGGCGCATTGACGTTACAGCAGCCGTTCACTAGCAAGTCTATTCTCTCACACACGTATCCTGTAAAACATTAACACAGATAAGCATAGATATTGATTAGAGAAAACGAAACGGTCTCACCGAGCCGCGTTGTTATCAGGTTTAGTGTTAGCTGCTGCATTACTCACCAAGTTCGTCTGTGAGCAGCGCCTTGCCCTGGATGGAGTTCCTGCACTGAGTGATCTGCCGGCTGCTGTTGCCCAGGTTAAAACGTACTTTCCATGGGATGCGATGGTCTGGATCTCTGACCTCCAAGAGCGTGCGGTCCCGAATGGTCCGCTCCTCCTGCAAAATACACACAGGGTCATGAAATGCCATTAAACACCAACGTATTACAGTTTGGAATAAGGGTCAGACAATATGATAAGATTGGAAGTGAGAAAATGCAAGAGGACTAGAAATGGACATTTTTGGAAATAATGCTGCTGACATTAAAACTGTTGATTTTGACATTAGTTGGAGTACTTCAAATGTCTCTAAATTCATTTTTTCATTGAAAAGAAGAAGATCCCACATGCTACAGTGTCTTAAGCAGCAGACTTTTGCCTGAATAAGTTGTCTTAAAGTCGGAAATGTAAGACTTATATCAGATAGAGCTGAGACAATTAGGTAAGTCAATAGAGAATCAAAACCGAGATAATATAATCTCTTAATCTTTAAGAAAACATGCAGAACATTCACTAGTTACAACTTGTCAACTTGCGGCTGTTTAAAAAAAAACTGTGATAGTAAACTGAATATCTTTGGGTTTTATATTATTGATCAGACAAAACTATTTACTTAAATATGTTTTAGGGGCTGTATAAAATGTAATGTCAACAGTTCCTGAGGTAAAGCAGATTGTCCTCTCCTATCCATTGTCCTTGTGTCACTCAATATTAAGTATATAAAGCCATTGAGACAATACAATGATATATTAAGCAGGACTAATTTAAGGCAATATTGAATGTACAGGATGACTGCACCAATGTGCAAGAGCACCTTTCATTTCATTTTCATTTAATTGTTTATTTGGCAGGGACAATGCACAGTAATGCATTCAAATGTGTCAAGCGTAACAGTGCCAGATTTAGCTTTGAGCTCATTTCCATCCGCAGTCCCTCACATAAAACATTTAAGAAAATTACATTTTACAGACATAGCAAAAACAAAATACATGATATGCAAAAAGTGCAAGAGAGCAAGAGCAGCATACACAAGTATTTATGACATGGTAGTACAATATAGCAGCAACGACATATAAAGTGCAAGAGAAGATACTATCGCCCTGTAGCACTCACATCTCATGTGATGAAGGTGCTTGAGAGACTGGTCTTGGCCCATCTCAGACCGCAGGTGAGATCATTCCTTGACCCTCTGCAATTTGCCTACCAGCCTCACCTGGGGGTGGACGATGCCATTATTTACCTGCTGCAGCGTGCTCACTCATACCTGAATGGATCGGGTTGCACTGTCAGAATCACCTTTTTTGATTTCTCCAGCGCATTCAACACGATCCAGCCTCGGCTACTGAGTGACAAGCTGCAGGCTATGAGGGTAAACTCGTCCACCATCTCCTGGATTACCAACTACCTCACGGACAGACCACAGTACGTCCGGCTGGGCAGTGTGCTGTCTGATGTGGTGGTTGGTAGTATTGGAGCCCCACAGGGGACTGTGCTGTCTCCTTTCCTGTTCACCTTATACACCTCTGACTTTCAATACAACTCAGAGTCATGCCACCTGCAGAAGTTTTCGGATGACTCTGCAGTGGTAGGGTGTATAAGGGATGGACGGGAGGAGGAGTACAGAGCGCTGGTGGGTGATTTTGTTGAGTGGACTGGTGGAGATCATCTGCTTCTGTATGTGGCCAAGACCAGAGAGATGGTCATTGATTTCAGGAGGAAGAGGACATCTCCTCCTCTGCCCCTGTGCATTCTAGGAGAGGATGTGGCTGTTGTGGAGGTCTACAAGTACCTGGGAGTGCACTTAGACAATGGGCTGAACTGGAGGATCAACACTGACGCTGTGCACAAGAAGGGGATGAGCCGACTCTATTTTCTGAGGAAGCTGAGATCCTTCAACGTATGCAGCAAGATGCTGGAGATCTTCTACTAGTCTGTGGTGGCTAGTGCACTCTTCTTTGCTGCAGTCTGCTGGGGGGGCAGCATCAGAGCCGGTGACACCAGCAGGATCAATAAACTGATCAGGAAAGCTGGGTCAGTCATCGGCATCAAGCTGGAACCCTTTGAAGCTGTGGTGGAGAGGAGGACACTGAACAGGCTGTTGTCCATCATGGATAACCCCACCCATCCTCTCCACCTGCAGCTGGACAGTCAACGGAGCTCCTTCTCCAACAGACTGCTGCAGCTCCCCTGTCACAAGGACAGATACTGGAAAACATTCCTGCCCACTGCAATAACACTGTACAACAAATCACCTCTGGCTGGAAGAGAACTCTCTGCTCCATAGTTTTTCTAGAAATAAAACCACGTTGTACATTTTACTCATATAATCTGTTCAATATTTATACTCCATATTCCATAATGTCATATATTTTGAATATATATATATATTTGTATATATATATTATCTGCATGTATATTTTCTATTTCAACATGTATATTTTATATTTTATTTTATTTTTCTTTCTATTCTTGTATATTTTGTAGTTTTGTTTTATTGTAAAATGCCTTTTATGCTGCAGTAACAACAACAATTTCCCAATTTGGGATCAATAAAGTACTATCTATCTATCTATCTATACAAGAGCTACATAAAGTGCAAGAGGAGATACCCCTGTGTTAAAGTGCATTTAGCGGTGATTACACGGATGTTTGTTGCTCAACCATTCTTTGAGTTGACCTTTAAAGCTATTGAGAGTGGGACAATCCCGTATCTCAGTTGGGAGGCTATTCCACAATGAGCTGCCTTTAATGGAGAGGACATTTTGTCCAAAAGTGGTCTGTCTGCGGTGGACCTCACAGTCTCCTCTGGTTTCTGACCTAGTGCAGCGTCCAGTGTGTTTTTTGTGGATGAATTCCCCTAAGGGGGGGGGGGGCCAGTCCATGTCAACATTTATAAAAAAAACACATACTTTTAAAAGACTTAAAATTGTCAAAACTCAAGAAATTGTGTTTTTCAAGGATGGTACAGTGGTGGTATGAATTTGGCTTTCTGTCAAACACCTTGATAGCTCTCTTGTACAGCTGTTCTATGGGTTTCAGGTTTGTGGCACAAGCAAACGACCAGTTTGTAAAACAGTATTCAATGTGGGATAGAATCATACAGTGGAGGTATGACTTTGCAGCATTGACAGTTAAGAAAGGTCTAATTTGTTTAAAATGTTGCAAGTTGAATTTAATGGTATTGGATACTTTCTTAATATGTTTCTTAAAAGTCAAGTTCGAGTCCATTATGACTCCAAGATACTTGAAGTGGGAGACTAGTTCTATTTCTGCTCCGTTTAAAAACACATTGGATCCTTCGATTTTGACTGGTCGTTTACTGAACATCATGCATACTGTTTTTTTGCATTTAACTGTAAGCAAATGTTGTTCAGCCAGTGTTGAACCTTGTCCAAAGCATTTAAGAGACAGGATGAGATAATTTCAGTCTTTTTCCCATGTACAAAGTTGACCGCATCATCGGCATACATTTGCACATTCAACTCAGGACATACATTAGGCAAGTCATTAATGTACAGAGAAAACAGTAATGGTCCAATGGGGTACCTTGTGAAACCCCAACAGGGTTCACAAGGTAGGGGGATTTGGCTCCGTTGACCAAAACACACTGTTTTCTGTTCCATAAGTAAGACTTAACCCACTGTATTGAATCTGCCGAAAAATTGAAATATGTCAGCTTTGTAAGGAGCACTTGGTGGTCAACAGTGTCAAAAGCCTTCCTGGGATCAAGGAAGACAGCACCTACATATGGGCTCGTGTCCAACATACATTTTGATCAATCAGGAGACTTCTTCTATGGTGCAAAAGAAGAAAGACACCTCCATCTGGATATTTCATCAACAAATCACATGTACCCAGGAGGACCAATTAGCTTTAGTGTTAGTGTAGTGTCTGTACCTGTTTGAGAGTGCTGGTGAGAAAGTAGATGAGAGACAGTCCGAAGACTACTCCCAGCACCCATCGCTTCCTCAGTAGCCGCCGTAGCACCATCATAGCATGGCTTAATTAGGGGGGAGTCCGGTGACAGTGACAGTCCAAAACATCAACCCTCCAGGGGCATCAACTCCCTGACTGACGTTTTTTCTCAGGAATATGTAACGATGTGTGCATACGTGATGAAACTCACTCAAACACTGTATAACCGAGCAAAACTGTATCTGTTTACTGACGTTTGTTAGGTTTATCAGACAGCAAATGTGATAAATACACCAAGAGGAAAGTCGTTTTATTGTTAGTGTCAAGAAGCGTTAGCTAACCCATGTTGCAGGCTTAGCGACAATTACGCTACACGGGCAATGGCTGTAAATAGGAAATATGCTCGGACACAGCTAAAACTGTTAACTGTTGGACATGCAGGCAAGTTAACGGTGTTTCATCATTAAAGCCTGCTTTGTTAGCCTGCTAGCTAGCTGCTGTTAGCACTAGCTTTCTGTCCTGGATAAGCCAGGCACTGCTGATAAAAACAAATACTAATAAGCTTTTATGCAGCCTAGTGACGCAGTTTCCCCTCCTTTGAAGAAAGCACTTCTGTAATGTCCAACATTACTTCAAACAAGCACCAACGGTGATGTTTATCCAGCAGAATCTGACAACCACCATCTGCAAAACAAATTTCCAACGCGGATGTGGTGTGGTTGGTAGGAGGACGCTGATTGGGTAGATAAGCGACGTCGATGACGCCATACCGGAAGTTTTTTGTAGCTAGAGCTGGACGGTCGGAGCATCTTCTGCAGCAGCAGCAGCATCATCAACTTAGCTAACCTGACACTAAATATGTCAAGAGCTGAGGGGAAATTCACTGTGCTAATTCAGGTAATGTCGTCTATATTGTTATTCAGCTTACTGTATAACGAATGAGACTCACAATAAGCAGAATAGCTGAATGTATACGTTCACACCCGGCCTCTCTGTCAGTCTCACAGATCATGTTGATTTGCATTGCAGGGCTGGGCCATGTGGTGATGCCATGCAGAGGAGACACAGCAGCAACACGGATGGCATGCCCCCTGAAAGGTGGGAAGAATAGCTCCAAGAAACCAAATACACATCCAAATGCATGTTGCCTCCCCCCCTCGACATGCATTCAGCCTAGAGCTGTTTATTAATGGTTTTGGCAAGGCCTCTTTGTTCCAGTCAAGGTTTATCCTAATAATTATGCTTAAAATCATATATTAAACAATAGTGTGCTTCCAAGGTGGAGGCCAAACTCTATTAGTGATCAAAGCACCCTTCAATAGATTTGTGATTTGGTCACAAACCTAAGCAGCAGTGGCAGTTCTAGAACATTTTACATGGGGTGGCAAAGGGGGGGCAAGAGGTCATGCCAGGGTGGCATGGGAGGGCGGACAGTACGTGGTATTTTATACTGTGTATATATATAACCTATTTATTGTTAAATCATGCCCTAACACAAGTGTTCTTAATGCACAAGAGAAACAAGATGTTCAGACAAACAAATTAAATATTGTATAAAACAGCAAAACATACTCATGATACACGATAATTCAGTTTACTGTAAGTACAGCAAAAGTACTTAGTTATAATTAAGTACACAATTGACATCACCCATCTCTTAAGAAAGCTAAAGGTGACCTGTGCAGCAACACATTTCAATACATATTTGTCAATACGAAGAGCCGCTAGATTGTGCTGCTGTAATGGAATATCTATGCAAGGAGAATAAAAACATACCATATGGTCCAGCTGGAGTTTGATCTGCTTCCTGATCACTGCCTCTGTCCCTCTTTCTGACGCTTCATCTTTATTCCTCACATACATTTCTTCTTCTTCACTTATGTCTTCATCTCCTCCTGGCTTTCTCCTGCTCTGAGCCTCCTGGTGTCTTCAGTGTACTCTCTTTTCCTTTTCCTCTTTCTGTTCGTCCTGATCACTACTCATGTCTTTTTGTTGTTGTTGAATCACTCCAGCTACTCTGGCCTGCAAGAGTCTACTTGTGAAAAGTACTGGTACAAATGCTTGTATAACTTTACACATTAGGACCATGTATCCTGGTTTAATTGATCCGGCCTCATTGCAGTGATGTGTAATTTACGTGGATTTAGCGCTGCCTGTGTAGTATTTTGTAATGTATCGTCCCAAACAGCAACTGTCTGTTAAACGCTATCGATTCAAACGGCAGCGTTTTATTAATATTTTGTTTCAAGCTCTCGTCCTTAGTAAAAGCAAAACTAGTGGAAGGGGAAATGCTCCCAAGCTGATCCACCTTCAGGTGCTGGGACAGCTCGCTCCCTCTCTGCAGCGGTGTGAGCCGCAGTCTGTGAACGCCGCTCCACAGTTTAATGCAGGGCCATAGCTACGTTTTTAACGGACCTAAAATGATATTTAAAATCATTCACTTGTCATTAATGAACTGCTTGTTTCGTTGCTTAAGAAGCTTGTGGACATAGTGTAGGTTTGTTTCTACAAGTACAGTTTTAGGGACACAAAAGTGAGGGGGGCAGCTGGGGGGGCAAGGCTCTACAGCTCTAATTGCCCCCCGTAGATCCGCCCCTGCTTAGCAGAAAAGTCACATCCTCACTTAATGTACCTTTTTCCCACCCAGGAGCCGAAGCCAAACTCTGGGATCAGACAGCAGCCTGGATGAGGGTGGTGTGTTTGACTGCCTGAAACCCGACTCACCCACTTCCCCCCAGCAGATCTTCTCCGGCCTGGTGGGTGTCCCCTCCGGCTCCGTCTCCTCTGCCCAATTCCAGGCAGCCGGCTTAGTCCTGGGCTCTCCCCCTGAAGTTTTTATCCAGATGACTGCATCGTCTAGAGAAGAAGGAGGCCCCCACCGCACAGAGGGTGGACCTTTCCTCCCTCGGCCACCTCCGCACCACCACCACCACCATCACCACCACCCCTACCACCACCACCACCAGCCCCTGCAGCACAGGACCTCCTCTCTGCTCCAGCAGGCCACCACAGCCGCCGGCTCCGAGAGGCACAGCTCCAGGGAGGAGGCGCAGGAAGACCCCTCCACCCCGGCCCCGGCCCTGTCTGAGCTGAAGGCAGTGGTCACATGGCTGCAGAGAGGCTTCCCCTTCATCCTCATTCTGCTGGCTAAAGTCTGCTTCCAGCATAAGCTAGGTACACCAGCATGTGGAGTAATAGTGCGGCTCACATTGTTTACATTACTAACATCAAAGAATCATCAGAAGCATAAGGTCTTATAATGTTGCTCCTCTCTCCTGCAGGTATTGCTGTGTGTGTGGGCATGGCCAGCACCTTCGCCTATGCCAATTCCACTTGTAGGCACCAAGTATCATTACGGGTATAAAAAAAACACACATTTCCTAACTTCTGGTTTGATGCAGGTTTTAAAGATATTCCCAACACTCTACTTTTTCGGAGCCAATTCTGATACTTATACACATTTACTGTAGGCATAGATCAAATTAACACTATGTTTTTCCACACATGTCTATTAAAGGATAAGGCTAGACTTGTTCATATTTCTTAAGAAATTTCCCAAGAAAATACCAAAAACTACAATGTTTTATTTTGCCTCTAAACACCTTCTGACATACGTAGCAAGTCTTTGTTTCACAACTCAAAGGCCAATCATACATACAGAAGATGTACATTTAAAAATAAATAAATAAAAGTATTAGTAACTACTCCTCACAGTAAGCTTTCATAAAACAGCTGTGCACCTGGAAACAAAGTGGCGAACTAATGGTTTAAATGCATTTTCGGCCCGAGAAATAAAATGTTTCAGGCTAGGTTTGATTCATCATTCATTGTTGGTTTTGCTGGTATTTAAATACTGTATTTTAATCTTTTTATGCTTTTGAAATCCTTTAAAATACATAAAACTGTTATTGTTCTGTTGATTTGACAGTTTTCATATTTTCTGTAATCGCAGAATGACATTCCAACACACAAACCGGTATCTGTTCTTTTCAGCTTAACATGTTAAAGTGGACCTATCATGCTATATTTGAATAATATAGTGTAGGACCATACCTATACTGTATAAGGCATATTTATACTTTTTTTTTTTCAAAATACCAAACAGATCATGCATTTTAGCCATGCCTCATTTCACTCAATTTGCACTTTTTTAGCTCTGTTTTTGCAAGGGCAGATTCAGTAAGAACAGCACCACCTACAGGCCTGGCATATGTACTACAGCGTCTCCAGCGCTTTCGAACGGCAATGGCCGTGGCTGTCTCCTCCTGATAGGTGGAGAGTTGGCCCAATAGCCGTAGCGCCACCGTCCTGACGTCAGGACAGTGTTCAAATCTGGATCAGTTTTTATCAGATCCGTTGCAGCCCCTTTTTTAGAGATTTGGGTATGGAGGAAAATAGAGAGGGTTGTGTTTTCTGACACTTGGTGAGTTCCCTGGAACACCGGGGACACATATTCATGTATAAAAGACGTACAAAAGTGCATTTTGCATGATAGGTCCCCTTTAAATACTGAATAATAAGTGCATCACTATATCTTCTCATTGTTTTCTCTACACCTCTTTGTTTATAGCAGAAATATACAATCGTTCACCTTAACACATAAAGTCTTTCTTCACTTAGGCTGATGATTTTGTGTTTATCAGTATTTAAGTCTTGTTTTTATTAACTTTTCATTAAGAACATATTAATAAGGTGACATTATTGCAGTTACTGGTATTGAAATGTCTAAGTGTAGAGAAATGCATTGTTATCTTTCTAAAATAGCTGTGTGTTTCTTTTATGTTACCAGGCGGATCGCTCTGTAATGGTTGCTCTGTGGATCATCATGTTCCTTGCAGGGAATATAATGTACATCTATTACACATTCAGTCAAGAGGAGCTGCACCTCAGGTAGTGTACAAGCAGGTATTTTAATAATAGCTGTGTTTTTCTTTGCGTGCCATCTTTTGTTTTGGATTTCATTTAGGTTTTTCCACTCATTTTGTGTTCTGTAAGCCATTTTATTTTGACTTTCATTTCCTTTAGGGAGCGTTCCTGTTCTTGTCTGCTCTTGTCCTGTGAGTATTTTGTGTTTATTTCATTTTTTTTGTTTCCAGAACGTTTAAGCATTTGTCTTTCTGTTGCTTTTCAGTCCACCATCCAAAGAGAAAAACACCAGACCTCCCTATTACAACTCACCTAGATGTTGTTTTCCTTTCTTCTCTAGCCTCATATTTGCCAAGCCCAACCTGAACAGCTTTGAGTTTTTTGATCTGATCTGGGCCGTGGGCATCACTGACTTTGTCCTCAAGTACTTCACCATCGGCCTGAAATGCTTTGTTCTCTTTTTGCCCAAGATTCTCCTGGCCTTCAAATCAAGGGTAAGAACTCCACATTTATCCCTCTGTCTCTCGGTACATCTAGAGCAGTGTTTTTTTGGGTCGCGGACCCGTTTCGAGTGGGTCGCAGATGTGTGAGTGAAGAAAAAAATAATTGAAAAAAATGAATCTTTTTTTTTTTTTTTGGGAAAAAAGTCAAACTTTTATTTTGAAGGCCCGATTTCCTAACACTGTGCATGCAGTAGGCGTTGGACTGGAAGTACCGGAGACCATAAACGGTTTTGAAAACTTCTGTCGCGTAGTGATCATCTTCTCAATAAAACATCTTTGCTGACTATTCTTTATACATCCATGGGTACAACTTCAGATCAAAATGAACTCATAATTAAAT